GAGGAGGAGGAGGAGGAGGAGAAGGCGTGTCATCAAAATACTGTGGGACAATCAGGGGGACAATAGCTCGGGTGTCCAGAGAGGCGGAGCTTGCCCCGAAGCCTGTCCAGAAAAATGTGGACTTCAGTGCAGCAGTAAGCCAAGCTCTGGGACAATCTCGAGTACAGCATCCTGTCAACCTGAATTTCTGAGGTGCCGGAGCCACGAAATGCGTCTCCGCCCAAGGCGGCGCGCAAAGGCTCACGGGAACAGATCTTTTTTGGTCAAGCGCTTGTCGTCTAATTTGGGGCAGGCACAGGCTTCGTGTTGGCGGCCGACTTGCCTATGTCAGACGACGAGGACGAGGACGAGGCCACAAATTCGAATGCAGTGAAAAGCGGAAGGCCATCTCTGCAAAACGTGAGAATGATTGCTCAAGGTGCCTTCCAGTTCGCACTCCCAGCCACCCCGACGCAACGTCGGCTTCGCCGAGGCACCGGCCGGAGCTGCCGGCTGAAACCGAGCACGCTGCTGGAAGTGCAGCTCTGCAGGAGGTCCGAGCCCAGGGGCCGTCGGACGGTGGCGGCAAGGCGGCACGGAAAGGCTGGGAGGAAATATCGGCTGGGCCGTCGTAGATACGCCCTGATGTTCCGTGCAGGCACGGGCTTCGTTAGTCCAGCGGACCTGCCTATGTCAGACGACGAGGAGCAGGAAGACCAGGAGGCGCTTGCAAGCACCAGCACAGAACACAGCTAAGGGAAGTTTTCGAAGTTCCGGCAGGCATCAGCCATCTTCGGAGGCCATCGGAAAAACAGCTGGGTATAGTTAGCTTAGAGTTTAGGGTGTTTAAGGTGCGTTTAATGAGTAGCGGTGAGGTGGCGAGGCTCGCCGCCCAGAGCGCCCGGACCGCCCGGCCAGCTCGCCTGGTCGCCGCGGTGCTCCACAGGACTTCCGACTCTCCCCAAAAAAGAAAGAAAGTAATCATACAAATACTAATAATAATGACTAAAAATAGTATTATCAATAATAAGAAATACTAATAATCAAAATAAACACAAGAGTAATACTAATAATAACAATAGTAACAGTAGTTACAATGGTCATAGTAATAATTATGATATCAAAAATATCAATACTGATACTCAAATTAATAGTATTAACAATAGTAATAGGCACTATGCGCTAAGATAATCTTTTGAGGAGCGGGAGCGACTCTCGGCGCAAGGCAAGGGCTTGAAAATTTCCGGGGCCGCTGCAGCACTGGCTTCTCCAGGTCTGCGTCCCATGCTGCCGGCTGCGACCTCAAAACGTTTTTGTGCCCAGAAATGGCTGCCTCCGAGCTCTCCGAGGCGTGCAAGACGACCTGAGGTCTGACCTAGCACGCATGCGTACCTATTCGCGACCTTGGAAAAGCCGGAGAAGGAATGTAATGCAGATAGCCTGACGTGCAAATTATAGGCATAGATATTACACAGGCTGCACATAATGGATACGTATTTGTAGCTGCAGTCGTATCTGCAGTTGCGCTGAAAAAGCTACAATTTTGTAATTGTTTGGCGGAAGTTAGATGAGTGGGCCGGACAACAAATTGTAGGCTGCGCGCGTCAATGATCACGATGAAGGATGATGTGGGGATCCTTCGTCAATGTTGTACGAGTCAGTTTCAGAGTCTAGATAGCTAGATCGTTGCAGGTTGATCGGATCCCTCAACCAAGTTTCTTCCTTCATTGACTTTAATAGCAGAGGGACAGGAGGTTCTCTGTCCATATCATCTACTATCAGGTGTCGCACCAAACGCTTTCGAGTTGACCACCCAAACACCCCCAAAGCTTCAGTGTTTCAAAATCGAAATCTCGAGACCCTGGGGCGTCAAGAGCGCGTGGGTTGTAAACCGTTTTGGCTCAAGCCGTGGGCTCCAGCATCTCGTGCTGGTATGTACTGGTACTTCGGGTGTTCCAAAGGTTAGGCATAGACTGTACTGGACCGATAGGCTCTAGATCCTAAACCTTTCAATCATAATCATAACCAAAACCATTGTCGAAGGTAACATCACGAACATGACGAACATCATTCCAGGACCACCAACGCTAACACAGGAAATTCACTTTGCTCCATGGCAAGTCTTCCGCGACAGGCGGAACCTTCCTGCTGCTCGACTCAGCGCACGAAGACCTGGGAGTTTATACAGTAACCCTTGTAACCCTTATAGTGACGTTTATAGTGACCTTTATAACATACGATAGAGAGACATTCAGTTTACCACGGTCTCCCTTTCAACTATGGAAAAGTGCTTGAATCTCACAGCGAACCAAAAGCAATCTTCGGTCAGATTCTTCCCTTCAGGTCCAGCTGAGGCCAGCTTGTGCTGCCCCCTACCTCGGACCCTGCTGACTGACACCTTCGACAACGGACCTGAAGTTTCCAACAGAATTGGCGACTCTATAGCTACATGCAACCCTTTGAAGTTGTTCTGAAATAAAGCAACAACAGCATGAAGAGGAAAATCCAAGTTTTGAATGTAATCGTCCGCTCCAAGGGTTAGAGTAGAATGTGCACAGCTAGCTAACGCCGAACTCCCTACCCTAAATGTCTTCCAGAACAAAAGGTTGCGAAGAATTCTACACATCCCGCCCACATTCATTGACAGAGAGCAGGCCAATGCTAGTATACATGTATACATATATACATATGTAAATACATACATACGTACATAAATACATACATACATACATACATACATACATACATACATACATACACGTACACATACATATCGGATTCACCAACCTGAGGCCATGTGCGTGTCCGTGAGAAGACGCCAGCCATCCATCCAGGAACATGAGGAGGGCAGAATGCGAAGATTGCAAGACCCACCCTTTTTGCATTGTGGTGAAAGGCACTCACCAAGTGCACTTGAGAGCGAAGACATGAGCACATGCCTCTAAGTCTGGCTCCTTCCATTCCAGAAAATGCCACAATTAGTCGTCGGATCGTATCAGCAGGTTGGGAAGGCTCCTCGCTCCATCCTGGACATGACATGAAGGACTTGGAGTCTGGTACGAAGGGCCTTCCTCCTCCGCAATCCCTGTAACCGCCGCCGTCCTTCGCAGCTTAGTCCTTTGGCTGGTAACCTGAGTCTTAGCTTGTCTCTGGCTCTATCCCGAAATATTCGTCTTGTGATTTCCTGTTGTTCAGCCTTTTCCTTCCCTGCTCCAGTTTGCGGTTGTTGTCTTTTGGATAGGCACGTCACACAGTGTTGATCCTGCTGCCTTGTCTTGTAATTCCTATAAGGGCATGCCATGGCAACCGGACCCCATATCAGAGTCTAGTGCGCACCGAGCAGTGTGGGAATCTGCATCGCAACGAATCTCTACAACATCGTGTGGGCGGAACTTTCAGGAGCCGAAACAAGGAAGAAGGGTGTGAGCTGGGTTCCTTCTTGCACGAAGGGTGTTGGCTGGCAAGAGAAGTACCATTCATGCATGAAGCTGGCCGGCTATAGCCTTCTTGGCCATGAAGCTGTGGCCACGGTCGACCCAGAACCCTTCTTATTTCAATTGATTTCCCGACGAGTTCGCCGGTAAACACTGCCGGGTCAAGAAGTCCAAGTGCAAGTGCGAAAGACAAGCTGTCGACAATCCAGCGGCTCTGCGGCTCCTGCTTCGTTCAAAGATATGGCTACAATTCTAGCAATGGTGTTGCACTATCTGAGTGTAATCATGGTCTCGCAGTGATTGTGATAGTAGTAGCAATAGAAACATCAATCAGAGCGCGGTAGTTTTGAGAATGATAGTGATAGTGCAAGTGTTAATAACAATGGTCAATGCTATACAGTCGGTACAGCAGTGATGAGAGCAATACCGTCATTGTGATAGTCATAGGACCGTCGACACCGCTACTAGCACGACACACTCGCTGCGGCTTCTGTTACTGTTGCTGCTATTGCCACGAGCTGTAGTAGGAAATTGCTATATGATGCTGGCCAAATGCTGGTTACACATGACTGGGACGTCAGATCGTTTCGTGGCCTGGACAGTGTGCAATCTATGCCAGTTCCGACGATGTTCGTGCCAATAGTAGCCTGTTGCAAGCTGAGTGCTTTGAGTTCTGTTTGCTTAGTGTGCACATGTATCCTGAGCCCCCTGCGGAATGCATTTCTCAAACGGACCGCCAGCGCAGAAAAGGACCTTTTAGTATGCAAGGCTCAGGGCACACGAGTGTACAGCTACGGTGACCACGGCAATGACAAGAGAGCATGCAGACAGACAAGCAAAACTACTCCGGCACACATATTCAGACATCGAATAGGACAACAGATTGTGCCTCAAGCCCGAAGTTGAAAGATCCGCACGGGCATTCGGCAACTGCCAGCATGGCGATGCAATTCTTCAAGTGATGCTGGCTCCATTTTCCGGTGGGTTTGCAGGTTTCGATGGATCCTCGTGCCTTGGAATGACATAACAGAGACGACCATGTGCCGCGAACCCCTTTTTAGCAAAGATCGCTGAAACTTTCAGGAGAGTCGCCTGATACTGCTGAATCTAATTCCTGTATGACAGCCAACAGGTCATCGGAAATCTCATCAACTATGTCATCGATTATCTTGCCGAAAGCTGCGAATAATAATTCAGTGAGCCGTTATTGTTAACCTCGCCGAAGATCATCGACTATGTCACGAAAAATTTTTAACTTCACCGAAAGTCTCATCGAATATGTCTCCGAATATGTTACCAGATATTGTGATGTCATCGAATACGTCACCGAATATGTCAGCGAATGCGCCGCCGATTATGTCATTGGAGTCATTGAAGGACATCGCGAACGATCCTATTCAAGATAGGTAGCTTCAAACTTTGCCCCAGATCCCTTTCTCCTATATCAACGTAGATGCTACTACATGCGGCATCGGTGTGGCCTAATCCGTCTTTTCGTTTGTTCTTTGTTTGAGCCTCGTCAGTCGTTGAAACCTGCGCGGAGGCTGCTATCTTTCTTAGCGAGTAACGCTTTGTTCCATTCGGAGTTGCGTATCAGTGAGTGAGTGAGTGATCTTGCCCATCGCATGTCCATGTGCAACTTGAACCACATCGTTTTCGCCTGTGCGCATGTACAGGTGTGGCGGTCTCGCTTTCGCAGCGTATCGGTACGGCGACGCAAGAAGCCGCAAGCTTCTACACGCTAGTTACTCGTAGCGCAACCGCCGCGGCTATTGCTGCTACTATCGTTACTACCACGACCGCTACTGCTGCTGCTGCTGCTGCTGCTGCTGCTGCTGCTGCTGCTGCTGCTGCTTGCTGCTGCTAACTACTACTACGACTACGACTACTACTCCTGCTGCTGCTGTTAC